CATGCCAGACATTGTTCAGATGAACAGATACAAAGAACTTATCTCTTTGAGCTTGTATTCTGGTTGAGAGAAACAGACAATAAACAAATAATAAATAAACAGGAAATGTACCCGGAAGTAAAAACTGCTATGTAATGACTCAAAACCTACTCAAAACTCGGCATGTTGTATTGTGACTTTGGTGACCACTTTAGATTGATGGGTCAAAGACTGTCTGAGGAGATGACATCTCAACCCAGGTTTGATTGTTAAGGAGGTTGGTCTTTTGAAGATGGAAGCTGGGTGAGTGGGAGAGCATTTTAGGCTAAAGTCATGGCCAAAACAGAGCCCCTAACATGGTAGGAAAGAACTGGGCATGTCTGGGGAACTGAAAGAAAACTAGTGTGGTCTGGTTGTACTGCATGAAGAGAGGGGCAGGTAGTGTGAGATAAGATCAGATTGAAGAGAGAGGCAGAGTTTTGGGGTCCAGAGTAACATATTTATATTTTATTCTAATGCCCATGGAAAAGTTAAAACAGAGTATTAGGTGTCATGTTTTATAAGTATCAGTTAGGTCATGGTAATTGATATGATAGCTTCTACATCTCTTTTGATTTTATATCTAGTTGTTCTGTCAATTGCTGAAAAAAGGGTGTTAAAATCTTCAACTCTGATTGTAGAATGTCTGTTTCTTCTTTTATTTTGACCATTTTCTCCACATTTTTTGAAGCTCTGCTATTGCGTCCATAAACATTTTTGATTGTTGTATCTTTCCATGTGAAATGTCTGTATCTTTGGTAATATTCTTTGTCTTGAAATTGACTTCGCTGGGTATTAATATAGATGTAGACACTTCAGTCTTCTTATGCTTACTATTTTCATGATATGTCTTTTCCTATCGTTCCACTATCAATTTGTTTTTATATATAAAGTGTGTTTCTTTTAGACGGATATAAAAGTATCTTGATTATTTTTTCCCTCATTCCAACAGCTTCTGCTTTTTAGTGAAGTAATTTTAGATATTGTATTTATCCTTTGTGGAGTTTGCTGAGTTTCTTGAATCTGTAAATTTATATATATTTTTCTTTACCAATTCTGGGAAAATTAGGGGCCATTACTTCTTAAAGGATTATTTTTCTACCTCAATCTTTCTTTCCTCTCCTTTTAAGACTGATTATATATATGTTTGATCTTTGGATATTATCTATCCTATGTATCCTGGATGCCCTGTCTGAGTTTTCCCCCAATATTTTTTCTTTCTTTTCTTTAGGTTGGATACTTCCTATGGATTTGCCTTCAAATTTATTGGCATTTTCTTTTGGCATCTCTAATCTGCTATTACGTCTATCCATTGAATGTTTTATTTCAGACACTCTATTTTTTACTTCTGACATTTCTATCTGGTTCTTTTCATAGTTATTTTCTGCTGCTATTTCCTATCTTTTTATTCGTTACATGAATATTTTCTGTTAACATCCTTTCTGTTATGTCCAGTTATAATAGCTGCTTTAAAATCCTTGTCTGATAATTCTAACATCTGGGCTATCTTAGATTGGTTTTCATTGATGGTTTGTCCTCTTGCATATGGGTCACATTTTCTGTTTCTTCATCTGTAGAATAATTTTAGCCTGTGTCTGGAACATGTGATTGATATATTGTGGATACTATAAACTCTGTTATGCTCCTGCAAGGGATATGGATTTTTTCATTTGTTTGTTGAAGAATACAGTTAGCTTGGCTTACTCAAACTCTGAGCCCTGTCCTCTCTGCATGGGGGAATATGAATCTTGTTCAGTTCTTTAAGGCTTAGCTAGGCTGCTTAGGGTCTGCCATGCTCATGTGTCATTATGGGGTCCACCAGGGATTTTGATTGGATTTATATGTAGAATTTTGGAGCTTTCCTTCTGTGGCTCTTTGTTTTCTTCCAGTTTCTGTTGGAGGCCCTTTTCCATTCTCTGCGTACCTTTGGTGACTCTTCGGTGCTTATTGTGTGTGTGTGTGTGTCCCCAGAATGCTAGTTGTTATCTCAGGAGGATTGTTGTGTTAGGAGTTAATTGGTGCTTACCAGAAGCAGAGCCTGAGTTTGTGTTATATTTTGAATGTAAAGCAAACATGATTTGCTGATGAATTGGATGTAAGGGGTGGTGGTGGCAGGGGCGTGGCGAAAGAGTGGAATCACGATTATTCGTTTTTTGGCTTAAGCAACTGGGAGGATGATTTTACTCATTTTTGTGATAAAGAAGACAGGGAGAGGAGCCTGTTTGGCTGGAGTACAGAGGATGTGGAAGTTAAGGGTTTCGTTTAGACGTGTTAAATTTGAGATGCTTTCTAGATATTCAACTGGAAATGTCAAATAGCTAGTTAGATATTTAGTATCTGGAGCTCAGGAGTCCTAGAGATCCAGACTTAGTCATCAGAATATAATTGATATTTGAAACCATGGGACTAAATGACTTTACCTAGGGAGAACTTAGCTGGTAAAGAAGGGGAGGCAGTTCAGTATTTGGAAGTCAAGCGGAGGAGAGGAACTACCAAAGGAGACCAAGAAAGAGAAGCCTGGAGAGGATGGGTCACAGAAGTCAGAGAAGAATGTTTCAAAGAAGGCGTCAGTGGACAGCTGGGTTGAATGCTGCTGAGAAGTCAATAAGGTGAAGGACGAAAGAGAGAGCGTTGGATTGGGCCAGGCAGAGATGACTTCACTAGACCATGTCACTGCAGTGGTGGTGGAACAAAGGATGGGCGCAGAAGCGGAGACTATGACACCTGTGGACCAAAAGCGCTTGCTGTTAGGGCTCAGGTTATTTAGTCTTCCAGTTCAGCTGGGAGCTGTGTAACCACCAAAGCAGAAAGGGACCACAGGTCTGTGAATATTTATTATTGATGAGAATGTTTCTATCCTGCAGCAGGGAAGGCTTTTCACCTTGAACTTAGACCTTTCCCTGCCCAGGTTACCTGGACAACCAAACTTCTGGGATCAGAGATGGCATTTGCTACTTACATGCTGCAATAGGACATCTGTTTAGAGCTATTGGGAGTCGACTGCATGGTCTTTAATCAGTGGTCTTACTAATTATAGAAAGTGAATACCAAATTACAGCCACAGATGCTTTAGGCTCTTACTTTGCCTTCTAAGAACTACCTTTTCTGTTGCTCAAGTTGGAGCTTAGAAGGCACAAGGCTCTTAGTAAAGACAGTGTTGTGGTTCAGAGCATCATTTACCCAGAAATGATGGGATTTGACTGTTCATGGGAAGGAACTTCCACAGAATGAGCATTTGTTTAACCAGGTGTCAGTTTGCTTTGTAGGTTTCTTGGAACATAAACTTAAATTTCATTACATTTGTTTTCAAGGATCATCATTCCATGAAGTCTTATTATCCCTTGAGGTTGTTCTTAGGTAGAGGCAGAAACTTTTGCCTTTGGTTTAGTTATAGTCTGCCATTTTATGCTAGCATTCTGGCATTAACCTTTGGATTTGCCTAAAGCAAAATACAACAAAAGGAATCAACCAAGCCAAAAATCTTTGATTTATTTTCCAGCTCTCCTTCAGATTTTGGTATCTGGCTTCTGTTACTTTGCAGCTACCATATTCACATCTGGTATGGTGCTTGAACATGTTAGACTTGTTCTCCTGAATTGCCTTAGGATGGTTAAGCCCTGGTCTTTTGGCTATGTTGACATTACTGGACTGATTCTTCGTTAAGATGGTCTTTTCCTGTGGGATAGAGTATCAACCTTCCCCGGCCTGCCTGCCTTTATGTCAGGTTTTATTGTCTTTTTCAAGAAGACTCCATTTGAATTTCAGCCATCACAGTGTAACACTGATGATCTTTCAGGACAGTTAAGATGTTCCTGGTAATTTCTCAGCGTGTGAACCATATGGGACCTCAGTGCTTCACATACCCTTTTCCCCTCACCTGCATGACTGTGCCCTTATCTTAATTAGGAATCTAATAAATAGGATATGCTGGTTTTGATTTCAAAACTGTGAAGGTCATACTATAAAGTAAAAGGTAACCTTTATTTCTGTTTAGTTGGTGCTCTCTCCCATGGGCGTAATTAGTGCCAACTTTTATCATACCAAAATAAAGAGTGCTTAGGTCAATATAGTAAGTAGATAACTGTTAGAAACCTTCTTTTCCAAAAGTAAGTCGTATGTACTAATCAGTCATTATAGTGAGGATCTTTGTGACAGTCTCCCTCTGAGCTTCATAGATCATGTATGTTTTCATTTTCTTCTTGTCTTTTGGATTAAAAGTATTTCTGTAAATAAATTGGGAACAATTCTGAGGTCCAGGACCTTCTGTTACCAGGTTAGAGCATTGGGAGCCATTTCCACATAAGGCAAATATTTGTAAAGCACAGTCTCATTATTTAGTCATTTTTAACACCAGCCAGGTTACCTTTCCTGAATACAGCAAAGTACGCGATTTGAAGTCACCTGCCTGTTAATACTTTTATAGTGCAACTGAGGTTCCAACCTGCAAAGCCAATGCTTTCATCTGTGGGTGAATTCCTTTCTATAATACTTATTTGCTTTAGTTGATTTTTGAAAAATCTCTTTGCAGGAATTCTGGCAATATATTTTTTTCCTCCTTGTAGTTTTGGAACACTGTAGTTGAGTGAGAACATTCCCTATCATAACTCCTAGAACTGAATTACAGCCAAATTGAAATGATTTGTGCTTTGGAGAGGAGAATTGGCAAGGATGCATGGTCTATGGCTCGTGTGTTGTAAGATAATTGTAACCATGGCAGTGCGTGTTTCCTAATATTATGTTTCTACATTTAAGTGATGAGAGTCATCATAGGGAAAAAATCCACTTGTATGTTTCTAGTTGAATTTAAATTATTCCAACTTCATTATTACAACATTAGAAGTAGCTGTTTCCTGTGGAATAGCTGGTTCAGTAATTTGCTTTATCTCATGTGCAAGTGGTTTCTGCCTGGGCCAGTAATATATTTTAATGAGGCAAGTTTCCAGGAAGACATAACCTAACTATGATAACTTTAAAAAACCTAGATAAAAGAATATGAAAAACTTGATAATGAGGAAGACCGCCTTTGCAGAAGTCGACAAATTTATGATGCCTACATCATGAAGGAACTTCTTTCCTGTTCACATGTAAGTATTTCTTCTAACTCTGTTACTTTAGTACTGATGAATATGGGACCATATTCAGTGTTTCCAGAATGAAAATAAAACAGTAGAAAGGTGTTTACAATTGAAAAATGCATGCCCGGGATGGAACCCATTTCTTCTGCTTTGTCATTTGTTTCCTGGTAATATTGGCACGACGTGTGTTGCTTCATGTAAGCTTAGTTCATTTCCAAAAGCTGATACTTTCACTGCAAAAATCAATGAAATAAAATCGCTAATTTAGATCAACTGAAGAAAAAGTCTCAATTCAAGACATTCTGAAGGAAATTAAGCTTTGTTATTTTAAAATGTGCTATACTTTAACAGTTAAGCTAATCAACTATTGATAAATATAAATTTTAAATGGTCTCTTTGAATGAATAAGGTGGCTTATAATCATTATGTTAATTTTGTTCATTAGTTAAATAGCAGTTGTAATTTTTTTTTCTTTTAAATCAGATAAACAATCTAACTTGGTCATTAGGATAAACTAGGTTATTAGGAAATGATTCTACCAGGAGTAACTGGAAGAAGATTTATCATGTACTATCTCTACAGTAGGAATGTTTTCCAGAGCGTGGCCTGACAGTCCTGGCCCGCTCTGTCAACGCAGTAGCCACTAGCTGCCTGTGGCAATTTACATTTAACTTTAAATTAACTAAAGTCGGCTGGGCGCGGTGGCTTAAGCCTGTAATCCCAGCACTTTGGGAGGCTGAGACGGGCGGATCACAAGGTCAGGAGATCGAGATCATCCTGGCTAACACGGTGAAACCCCATCTCTACTAAAAAATACAAAAAACTAGCTGGGCGAGGTGGCGGGCGCCTGTAGTCCCAACTGCTCGGGAGGCTGAGGCAAGAGAATGGCGTAAACCTGGGAGGCGGAGCTTGCAGTGAGCTGAGATCCGGCCACTGCACTCCAGCCTGGGTGACAGAGCGAGACTCTGTCTCAAAAAAAAAAAAAAAAAAATTAACTAAAATCAAATAGGAGTAAAAATTTAATACCTCAGTTCCTCATGAGCCACCTTTCCAGTGCTCAGTGGTTACATGGGGCTAGTGGCTTTTGTACTGGATGGCACAGATACACAACCCTCCCATCATTGCAGCAAGTCCTATTGGACAGCACAGGTCGTGGTCATGGTGTATTTTGGTGCTTCTGTATTCATTGTTTATTTACAGTTCCTGCTGACATTTGCATAACTGTGGCTAAAGAGGATGTCTCTTTCTTGTGGCATGCACTGCTCTGTTCCTTGGACCCACCTGGCTTGGTGAAGAAATTTCTGGGCCTAGGGCTTATTGTTGCCACTCCCTGCCTTGCTGCCTCAGTAGGGAAGGACTGAACGCTTGAAGAATGCCAGATGTTCAATGGGAAAGCCTCTGAAAACTTAGTTTTTATGTAGTTCAACAATTTACAGGGTGTTTATTCGTATGATGGTACTTTTAAGCCTTTCTTCTTATTGTGCATTGTTAAAGAAGACACAATTTGAAGTTTGGAGTGGGGAGGATAGCCTTTTAATTTTTATCAGTGGAAGCTCCATTGTTTTTGCCCTCGCTGGGGTTACAGTAAGACTTTCCTTAACTTAGAGCCTTTTACCGCTATGGCTTGACTTTGTAATCCTGACATTAATTCTTAGGGGTATTTTTGTGTATTTTCTCTTATTTGATGGAAATTTTACATTTTTACAACCCCATTATCAGTTTGTTGATGGATATATTTAGGGCCCAAATAATCCTCCCACCTCAGCTTCCAGAGTAGTTAGGACTACAGGCGCATACCAGCATGCCTGGCTCATTTTTATTTTTATTTTCATGGAGATGAGGTTCCACTATGTTGCCCAGGCTGATTGCAAACTTCTGGGCTCAAGTGATGCTCCTGCCTCGACCTCCCAGAGTGCTGAGATTACAGGCATGAGCCAGTGCACTGGCCTGATAATAGGATTCTTTACACTTTATTATCAGAGTGATCTTGAACCCTTCTGGAATTGCATAGTGTCAGCCCCTGCATGGTCATTCTTCTGGACATGTAGCTAAGAACTGGATGCCCAGAGGAACAAGCACTTGCTGGGATTGCCTGTAAATACTCAACAGATTTTTTAAAGAGTGTTTGTTAATATAATTACCATAGGTTACTGTTTAGTAATTGCTGTGCTAAATTTATCTGTTGTGATATTATATAACATACACAGATTCGTTACATCTTATTGTTAAAAAATATTATTTTTGACTTTTGATAGCCTTTCTCAAAGCAAGCTGTAGAACACGTACAAAGTCATTTATCCAAGAAACAAGTGACATCAACTCTTTTTCAGGTAAGTTAAAATGATTCCAAAATAAATAGATAATATTTGCTTAACAGTTGGTCTTGGTGACATTCTTTCCGCATGTGCAATTACACTAGAGGACTTGCTTTGTACAGACTGTGTTCTAATCTGGAGCTTTGTCTGGGACAATTTGAGTTTATTATCGCTTGTCTTCCCATTGCAAAGTGTCCTTTTACCAATGTGCTTCATAAAGCCTTTTCTGAAAAAGGCCACCAGAGCTTTGCAGTAACATTATGTTCTAGAAATCAGTCAAGATAAGACATCAGAGAAGAAAGCTTTTTTTCCCATTTGACATTCTAGCACCTGTGATGAGCAAAGACTCGACAAGATTTATTTTGTAGTGCCAGGCTGTTGATACTTGCTGTGATTATCCTCTAGGGGAAATACGATTTATTTTCAAGATTCAGGAGCAAATGTTTGAGTGATCTTTGAGTCATGGAAAATTGTATTTTACCTTGGTTATTCATATCTTGAACACAATACAGTCATATAGGTTAAATGACAAGACTTGGAAAATCAAATTCCCCACTAAAAGGCCTATATATTTGGCATTCTTTAGATGAGGTGGTTTCACCTCCTCCCAAAAGCCTTTTCCATCCTGTGTTTTTTATAGAGGTGGCAGTGGTTTACAAGCACAGTCAGATTCTTCAGTGAATGAGTGCTTTTCATGTTTCTGTGAATTACAAGAAATAGGAAAGAATGTCATTGAGTAATATATTGGTTTTAATAAATGAAAATAATCAACTCATCTTTTTCCTGGATAAGTTGGTCATTTAAAGGGAGGTAAGTTGACTTTGGCATTTTATGATAGTGTTTATGCAAAATGAATTTGATTATTCGGCAGAGCAAATGCCGATTTGGCTCTTAGAGCATTTAGATAGTAACAAACTGGGTGTTACCTTTCTGTGACAATAATTAGATGGACTTTCATAAAATGTAATACCTGTCTGGACAGTAGTGGGTTATAAGCTTGGGTTATGAAATTCGTTGACCTGACCTGGCTTTGAGTCCCAGGACCGTAGCGGGAGGACCTTGGGTAAGCTTCTCCACCTTCCAAACTTCAGTTTTCTCATCTGTAAAGTGGAGATGACACTGCGCGCTCCCTCAAAGGAAGGTCTTGAGGATTCAGTGAGAAGGGCACACACAGGTTGCGTTGTACGAGGCCTGCCCATCACTGTGCTCCACAAATGTTAGCTATTATCACACATCTTACAGTCAGAAAGTACAATGTCAATATCTGCTTTCTGTTGCCTCCATGACACTTGAGTGTCAGAATTTCAGTTTTCATCAGACTTTGCCATGGTACGTAGACAGCCTCATGGTCAATTACATTTAACATTGCTAAACTATACCTCATAATACATAGGTGTTACAAATCTGATTTTAGCTTCTACTATAACATAAATAACATTGAAAAAAAATTGTTCCAGTGGGGATACAAAGACCACTAGGATTCTTTTCATACCTTCAAAAAACACTCGATTTAGAAGCAATTTCTTTCATATATCTTTTAAAAAACACTTTACTGAGTTGTTTTGTTTGTTAAAAACATAGTCAAAATAATTTTCTGGCTAAATGGATATAGAATGGGTATTATTCTTATTTCAGAGGTGAAGAGAATATTATAATGTTTATTAAAATAGTGTCTTAATACAATTCTATGTATTCTGTACCATCAGAGCATAATGACTAAGTATAAGTAAAAAGTATGTGTCTGAATGTCCTGTTTACAGAGGTACATTAACCAATAAAGTCAGTTGAAGTTCATAGTAAAACAAAACTTTTTAAAGTAAATACAAATGCTTTTTATTAAATTCTTTTTGTTGTAAGATTGTCTTTAGAAGTAAGTAAGTGGGTAGGTCCATTGGTGGCGGGCTTGGGAGGGGCCCTGGCTTGTGCTTGGGTGCTTCTAAAATGCCCTGGGCCCTGAGCTCGGCTCTCAGCATTCTTAATCTTACCGAATTCTCACGACAGCCTTGCAACTTAGATACGACTGTTCTCTTTTACAGATTAAGGGAACTGAGGATCAGAGAGGGAAAGTAGTCTGCTCCTCATCCTACTGTTGAACTCCGGCTTTCATACGCCTTAGCAGGCCTGCTGCAGTTCCTTCTGTTGAAAAGGGGCAGCGTGGTAGATTCTGTGTAGTCTTAGAAATTCCCAGTGACACTCATCTTTCACTTTATTAGCAGAATGTAGGGATGTTTGATAAAATGTGAAAGAAAAATATTAATTGACATAATAGCTTTTATAAATAGAAAAATCTGTGATCTATAAATGTAGCCTTTGTTAGATCTTTGAACATTTGAACCTATTTCGTCTCTTGACTCTTTTGAACCTCTTGAGACTTGTCGAGGACTTGGCTAAGATAGATGTTGTGTGTTTCCTGGAATCATAGGATTTCAGAGCTGGAAGGAACTTCAGAGAGAGATAATTTAGCTTCCTCTTTCACCACGAAGGGGACAAAGTCCATATGGTTTTCGCAACTAGCTCTGGTGCCTTCCCCAGGACAGGGATAGTTCTGCAAGTTGGCGTAGACTGGCTCGCCCCCCACCACCACCCCCTACCCCGTGTTGCCCGCCAGGCTAGCGTCCTTTCTGCTTGCAGGAAGCAAGGCTCCCAGAAGGACTGCAGCTGCCTCCCAGCCCATGTTTGGTTCCTGTGGCTTCTGCAGACTTCCTATTCTCGTCGCTTGGTTTGTACTGTTCCATGATGTAGTTTTTCTTTTCTTTTCTTTTTTTTTTTTGTAAACTTTCAGAATGATCTATGAAGACATAAAAAAAGTTTAAATTTGGATCATTCAATGAACCGAGGGTGCCAAAATGTTTCCTGAAACTATCTAATTGACTCTGGGCTGAACTGTGAAATATTGGCACTTTATATTTTTATAGTTCTTGATTTTAAAAGTTCATCACATGGGAAAGGAAAGCTGATGCTGTTTCTTCAGTAACGGGTAAAGTGGCCTGAAGTTGAAGTAGATGGTAGTTGTCCTCCAGGAGGGCAAGAGCGCTGTGTATGTGAACCAGGATCCCTCGCCTTAACCCCAGTTTAGCCATGGACCTTCTCAGAGACCTTGGGAGTGCACTGCCTGCAGTCCGGTAGCCTTACGTGCAAGATGAGGAGTGGGATTGGATCAACTCTCCCCTGTGGGTATCTCTGTGACTCTAAGAGATAGAAAATCAATAAATAAAATAGCTAATTAAAAAAAATTTCACTTCATGGACCTATTAGCTTTGAGTTTTTAAGACTCAGTGCAGATTACAGATGCTTGTATTAGCTTACAAGTTGTGCCACATAACTTGTGGGGCCCAGTGCAACGTGAAAATGCAGGGCTCCTCATACAAAAATGATGAAGAATTTCAGAAATGGCAACAACAGAGCTTTAAACCCAGCACCAGACTTTTCCGAGTCACACCTCTGTGAAGCAAGCCCTGCTCAGGGAGTAAGTGTCTGTAACTTGCCAGGAGTCATATTAGGTAGTAGGAATATAGTGGCAAACAGGGCAGACCTGTCTGTGTTGTCTTCATGGAATCAAGTGGTATAGATAAATATTGACGAATCCATTAGTGAATATTAGACAAGCACAGAGAAGGGCAGGTACCAGACACGATGCTATGGGGAGTGCATAATTGGGAACTTCGCTTAACCTGAGTCTCACTGGTTTGTGTTTTTTTGATACGTTCCGATTCATTCAGTGTGGAATTTCTTTTCCATCTCTTCCAGCCATACATAGAAGAAATTTGTGAAAGTCTTCGAGGTGACATTTTTCAAAAATTTATGGAAAGGTATGAAACTTTATGCATGTATACACACAATTTTTTATTGTGTATGTGTACCTCATCTTATGCTGTAAATGCTGACCTTAGAATGTGTGTTAATCATTCAGCAAGTATTCATTGACCACATACAATGTGCCAGGCTTTGTGTTAAGCTGTTTCCTCAGTACTTTACATTATAACTTTAGGGTTTGTCTATCTTAACATCTCTTTGACCTTCAATTTCTTAGCTTCAATATAGTCTAAAATATACACTGAGGAACCTCAATTTTAAAAAGTATCTTATTGGGAGACCTTTGCTAATAATGCAAACTTGACTATAATTTATCGGATTCATTTGCTTGGATTTTGGAAACATGTCTCCCAAAGTAGGACAAGCCTGAACTTGTTGAAAAGTGGCAGCGTGGTAGATTCTGTGTAGGAGATCTATGTGGGATTAGAATTTAAGGACATAGGTCAATGTCTGTTTATAATCGTGTACATCATTAAATACCTAATAAATATGTCCCTTGGTTACTCAAACTATAGAACATGTTTATCATATAATATTCTGAAACTTTTTAGTGACACCTATAAAAATGTCCAGTTCATACGCTTTTCAGGCACCTACTGGTCAATTCTTCAGTTTTTGAGTATGTCTCTGTGACAATGCACCACTGAAATTGGACCTTCTAAAACAGAATCTGCATTGCCACTGACTTTACGTTATGAGCTTGGCTAATTTCTAGACAATATACATGATGATGATATCTCATGCTAGAGCTTTCTGCAGCTGCTCAGTAATTGCCCTTTAAGAACAATCGCTACTTTACTGTAGTTTTCTTCTCCACAAATTCACAGAACTAAAGCAATTAAAAAGAAAGTTGTGTTGCAATTCTGTTGGAGTTCAAGAGATAATTTTATCCTGGAGTAGAGTCAGTGTGTTGGGAAACTAATATTCCTACAAATGACCGCTCTCTTCTGAGTAGTAGCAGGAGCTTTGCCAAAAAGCGCCAGCATCAAACGGAAAGGGTGGGCTGCTGGCTCAGGGCTGAGTTGCAGCCAGCTCCTGAGCCATCTCCATGGCTGTTGGTCCTAAAATCTGACCTTTCCCAACTCTTGGGTAAACCTAACTTTTGTGTGATCCTTAGGGGAGAAGGGAGAGAGGGGAAGGTAATTAAAAGTGGGAATGAGGTTTTCCCATGGATATTTTATAACTTTGCCATGCATCCTTTCGCTTGAAACCAGGCTCACAGATAATAGTGATTTTCACTCCTTGAACCAGTCATTTCATATGCTTGCAGTAAATGCAAATGACGCTGTTTGCATTTTAGGCAAGTAGGCACACGGGATTTTCTGCAGCCATTACAATTTTCTATAAATAAATTATTTTTAAAGTTGATGTGTTAATTTCTATCAAATTAGAAAAAAAAAATTCATGTCAGGTGATGAATTTGGAGCTTTGATTTTGAAAAGCACAGGGACTCCATCAATATGGTCATGTAGCCTTTGACCTCACTGGGGCTGGGCACATGAAGGGCCTCATGGAAAAGGCGATTTTTTTCCATCACCACCCTGAGTCTGATGGTAAAGAGGCAGCCATCAGCAATGCAGGGCCGTGTGCAATGTCTTCCCACCTTCCCTGAGGTCCAAGCAGGGCTATGGGGCTGAGTTACAGGTGAGGCAGAACTGGAGAGGGCAGTGGAGGCTTTCTGTCTTCTAGCTGAGAGCTATGTGCCTCATTCAGGCAGTGAACTTCAGTTGCTCAGCAGGACAACGACTGAGTCAGGAATCAGAGTTAAAAACACTTCTTCTACTCCACCCTTACTGCATCCCAGGCGTTTCCATGTCTTTAACCTCTGATCTTCTCTCCAAGATCCTTTTAAGTCATCTGCAAGGGTTCTAGCTACCTGAAGCCCTATAATTGTCTGGGCTCTTTCGTTTGCCACAGTTCCCCTCCTGTCGAAGTGTCCCACTCAGTAACCAGGCATTGGTTGGGAATAGCACTCAAATAACCCCCGTGGAGACAGGACTGAGCCTAGATACTCAGGGCCATCTGTACTTCCTAAAGAGGAACTTGTTACAGCAAATCCATTCTTAGTGGGCAAAATATGTGGGCACTTCTCTCTTCCTTGTTTGTTAACCCTCCTCAGCTAGTTGTAAAATGTGTCAGATTTCCATCCCTGTCACCAGCTCTGGACTCCAGAATCTGTGAGAAAACAGGTATGAGCTAGCCCAACAAACCAAGTGAATTTCAAAGACCTGTCATAGATTTATAAATGCAGAGTGCACCCAAATGTGCTTTTGCCTTTTGCATGCACCATGCTTTTAAAAAATAGGTTGAAGTAACTCTTAGAAACTCTCAAAACATAATTTTAATTCACCAACTTCATCAGACATGTTAGGAGGATCAGTGAAATACTCTTTGTGAGTCATTTTAGATTAATTGAAAAAAAGATGCTATTGTAATTGCAACTGTTCCTCTGCTTTTGATTTTTAATTTGATTATTAGCCTCAGAAATATTTGTTACAGATCCTTATTTTTTAAAAGGTCTACTGGTTGGGTGTGGTGGCTCACCCCTGTATTCCCAGCACTTTGGGAGGCTGAGGCAGCAAGGATTGCTTCAGGCTAGGACTTCGAGACCAGCCTGTACAACATAGCAACACCCAGTGTCTTCAAAAATAAAAATTAAAAACTAATAGCTGAGTGTGGTGGTGTGTACCTGTAGTCCTAGCTACTTGGGAGGCTGAGGCGGGAGGATCACTTGAACCTAGGAATTGAGGGTTGTAGTGAGCTAGGATTGCACCACTGCACTCCAGCCTGGGACACAGAGTGAAACCCTGTCTTCAAAAGAAAAAAAAAAATTGTAAAGCTCATTAAATGAAGCCCCTAGGGAACTGTGATATTTGGATGTCTTTAAGGCATTCCAGTATGATGCTGATATTACCTGTAACTGCCTTCCTCCCTTCCTCCCTCTCTCCCTGAATCCTGTGTCTGTGTAATGAATCATGCCAGGGGCAAAATGAGATCGAACTATCACCACAATGTTCTCTACTTTTAAGAAGTATTCAATCGCCAGGCGCCGTGGCTCACGCCTGTAATCCCAGCACTTTGGGAGACCGAGGTGGGTGGATCACGAGGTCAGGAGATCGAGACCATCCTGGCTAACACGATGAAACCCCGTCTCTACTAAAAATACAAAAAAAAAAAAAAAAAAAAAAAGCCGAGTGTGGTGGCAGGTACCTGTATCTCCCCAGCTACTTCACGGAGGCCAGGGGGGTGAGGCAGGAGAATGGCGTGAACCTGGGAGATGGAGGTTGCAGTGAGCTGAATCGCACTACAGCCTCCAGCCTGGGTGAACTTTTGTTTTGAAAGAACTCTGTCTCAAAAAAAAAAAAAAAAACCAAAAAACAAAAAAAAAAAGTATCAAATCTAGAATGCATTTATTTTGAAAAAATAGTTTAAAAACAAACCCTGGCAGGGAGGGTGGCTCATGCCCTGTAATCTCAAGCACTTTGGGAGGCCAAGGCGGGTGGATCGAACCATCTTGGCTAACATGGTGAAACCCCTGGTCTCTCCTAAAATACAAACAATACAAAAAAAAAAAAATTAGCTGGGTGTGGTGGCGGGCGCCTGTAGTCCCAGCTACTCGGGAGGCTGAGGCAGGAGAATGGTGTGAACCTGGGAGGCAGAACTTGCAGTGAGCAGAGGTTGTGCCACTGCACTCCAGTCTGGGGACATAGCAAGACTCCGTCTCAAAAAAACAAAAAACAAAAAACAGAAACAAAAAAAACCCACCTTACAGATATGTTGCTCATTAACAAAAAATGTGATCAAAATGTCTTTGTTAAATAGATACAGGATATATCTTTTTCCTCATGGATAAAGAAAACACTCATCAAGCAGTTGAGTGAATTGTGGGAGCATGTCATTGTGGCGAACTTACTGCCTCTTGGGATTCTGGACTGAGGGTTTCTCTTCTATGCTGCCTGTGTCTTTGAGAGGCAGTACTAAATCTTGATTAAGACGATACATTAGATTCTTTTGGTCTGGGTTCAAATTCCACTGTCCCACTCTGTCACTGCGTGACCCTGGCCAAGCCTCTGAACATTTTGATGCCTTGGTCTCAGCTGTAAAATGGGGATCATAATAGTACCTGGCTGTAGAGTCGGTAGGAGGAATACATGAGCAGGCCTGGCACGTGGCTACTCTTAGAATTATTGTAAACATTAATTTTCTGTCTTAGAGCTGTGCTCTAAAAGCCATGGCTGTCCAGTATGGTAGCCAGTAGCCAAGTACAGCTGTTGAACACTTCAAATGTGACAAGTCTAAATTAAAATGTGCTTTTAAGTACAGAATACACATCAGATTTCAAAGACTTAATATAGTAACAAGAATGTAGAATATCTCATTAATTCATATTGATTTCATGTTGAAATAATTTTTTAATATATTGGGTTACATAAAGTACATTATTAAAATTTACATTATATGTGTGGTTCATATTATCTCCCTATTGGTCTGTGCTTATTCAGATAAAAGTGTTACCATAGCCTATGACAATTAAAGAAGAAACATGAACTCTTTCATCTGCATCATGAAATAAAGCCATGAATACTGGTAAATGCTCTTTGAAAAAGGGTTTAAGAAAACGTACTTCATTTGACAAGCTACCCAAGAATGCCGTTCTAGTCTGTCTTACAGTGTTGTTTTGTAAATCCAGTTAATTTAATATTTAACTTTTTACTCATTATTTTATTCTCTTTTAGTGACAAGTTCACTAGATTTTGTCAGTGGAAAAACGTTGAATTAAATATCCATGTGAGTATCACTCTTTTCTTTTTTCTTTTTCTTAAATAAAAACTTCCTCTGGCTTAACCTCATGAGAAAATACTTGATTCTGGAACGTACTCCCAGAGGGTCCACTCCCCACACAGATGTCTCTCTTCCAGCTTTAAGTACTAAGCACTCACCCTCCCATGCTTCCTTATAAACAATTGGAGCTTTAATTCTTTTTCATATTCAGATGAGAATGTGCTTATTTATGTAAGAAAGGATATTTTAAGCAGCAATTGACTCTTTAACAAAAATAGTAGTAAAAACACAAATCTTTTACTTAATATAAGTCCTTCATGTCCTTGCCTTCTGCCATTCTGGTAGAGTTCCTTTTCTTTTTCTTATTATTAGATTTAGTAATACAAATTGAGTGTCATAATAAAAATAATGACATCTTTTATCAGACTGAGGCTTCATCTTCTTTTTTATCATTTTGAGAGTGATAAAAGCAATCTTCCAATCCAGGCCACGTTCTAACACGTCATCTCCTTAGTGTTGCATCTACTTTAAGTTTTCAATTTCAATAATTCTTATTGCATCATCCTTATTGCAGTTTGAAAATGCCCACATTTCTTTGTACAGTCTTTCTTACCTTCTGTTTTACAGTCTCCCTTCTCATAGGCTTGCAATTGGGCAAAACAATCAACTGGAATTTTTTTTTTTTTTTTTTAGATTTTTACTTGAATGGTGTTGTTGGAAGAACAGTTTTGTTTTTTGTTAAGTATTTTTTAAAATATTTGCTCTTTTTGATCTTCACTAAAAGGCCAAGGAATGATCGGGTTTTTTTTTGTTGTTGTTGTTGTTGTTTTTAATTTCTAACCTCCTTTCCCCATGATATTTCCTGGAAGGATTTAGAAGCAAGAGGCAATAACACATACCCTAAAAACCCCTTATATCTGCTCTGGTTCTTTCATACGCTTCTGCCTCGGGAGACCCTGTGTCCTTGTGGACTCTGAGAATCAAACGTGAATTCTGTGGCCCAAATGCAGGTTTCTATACGATGTTTAAGGTTGTTTGGGGGAACCCTTAAAGAATCCCACCTTTAATTTTCCAGGATATGTAATGTAGTAGGTACTTGCTATTGTCTTATGACCTCTTATGTGAAATGTCAGATTCACTCTCTGTCTTTGTGCCATTTCACATTATTAAATCTAATGATGAAGTGGGGCATTACTGAGATATTATTGACTGAAGGAAAGTGCTTATGAATACAGCCTCTGTATATACTTTACTCACATTTAGCCTTGTTTCACGCTCACATGGCCAGCATGAGTTCTCTCTATTCACTAATGTTATCAATAACAACTTCACATGGCCTGCATCTGTTGGGATTCCTGATCATATGGCCTCGTATCATAAACACATAGATGCCCCTGACATGGACTCTCATTTTTCAACTCTGATAGTTCTTGGAAGCACTGGATTGTTCCCAGACATTAGGCTTTGGAGTAGCTAAGGCTGCTTTTCATTTTGATTAGACATTTCACATTCACTTGTCTTCAAGATATACATATTGTAATCTGGGATTTGTGAGAATGGAGAAACAGTTCAGCTTGGTTCCACTCCATCATCTTCCCTCATGCCTCCATTTGGTGCCTCGTTTATCCTGGAGGTGGAGCTGAGGGAGTCTGTCGAAAGTCTTACTCCTGGGGCATCTCATCCTTCAGCTTAAAGACTCAGCCATGAAAAGAGTAGATCCCTAAGTCAGATTGCTATTTTAATTACTGTCTATGTTTTGCATAAAAAAATATTTTAAACACCATAGCTTTATGTAATCTTACGTTTTCATTTTGTGTTTGGATTTCCCAGTTGACCATGAATGAGTTCAGTGTGCATAGGATTATTGGACGAGGAGGATTCGGGGAAGTTTATGGGTGCAGGAAAGCAGACACTGGAAAAATGTAAGCTTTCAGTGTTCGTATGTTTTACTGGCACTATTAAGATTTTAATATTTGCATGAAAATAAAATTCCTGTAGAGAAACGTGGAAGCCTATGACATTGCTTTTGAAGTACTTTACCTCCAAAAGAAATTAAGCTGTAGGCCGGGCACGGTGGCTCATGCCTGTAATCCCAGCACTTTGGGAGGCCGAGGTGGGTAGATCACAAGGTCAGGAGATCGAGACTATCCTGGCTAGCATGGTGAAACCCCATCTCTACTAAAAATACAAAAAATTAGCCGGTGTGGTGGCGGGCCAGCTACTTGGGAGGCTGAGGTGGGAGAATGGCGTGAACCCAGGAGGCGGAGCTTGCAGTGAACCAAGATCACGCCACTGCACTCCAGCCTGGGCAACAGAGTGAGATCTGTCTCAAAAAAACAAAACAAAACAAAACAAAACAAAAATTGACCGTTGCTGAATTCATAATTCCTAGCTGCTAAATATATACATATGCCCCCATTATCAGTCATAATAAAATTTATTTATATCCATCTGCTTTATCATTTATTTCACTGGGATTTGTATCCATTTAATGATACAGATATCTTAAGTATTGCTTGATTTCATTTTCACAATACATGCAAAATAAAAATACTTCTTGCATGGCGCTTGGGTGCTACTCTGCTTCTTTTAAACATGGCCTAAATATTCAGAAACTTGCCCCAGTATGATGTATATTGTTTAAATTAGTCTAGATATATTTGCAGCATAGATTTTTCAATAAATTTATGTTTCTAGGTATGCAATGAAATGCTTAGATAAGAAGAGGATCAAAATGAAGCAAGGAGAAACATTAGCCTTAAATGAAAGAATCATGTTGTCTCTTGTCAGCACAGGAGTAAGTATTCCATTTCCGGCATTTCTTTTAAAAATGTTTTGTTTGTTTTATAGCAGGATGATTTATTATTTTTCCTTCTAGCTGATTATAAGGCCAGCGAGTTCTTGGGTGGGTTAGAATCTGATAGTATCTCTTTATTTGATTTTGCAAGTTAGAAGAACACTAGCCAACTCCATTATGCACACGCATGGCTTCTCCCTTTAGTGTCTATTTATTTGTCCTTGACTTCCTTCTTTGCAGAATATGGTAGTGGAGATGGCAGAAAATAATGATAACCAGAAAAATCACTGGAATATAGTCAAGCCTTGACTAAACGACTGGCAAGAAGGACTAACCTAGAGAGGAAAAGTAAGAAAAGTGGCTTCTGTCCTTCAGAAGCAAATCGAGAGAAGCGACTTGGATTAGTCACATCTGAATTGTCCTTTTGAGATTGTCCCTAGTCAGTGTTTCCCTGGAAGGTGACCGGTACCTGCCAGTACCTACCTGCTACTCTGATTATCAGCCTTTCCATTTCTAGCACCGTATTTCTACTTACTGGACACTTTCTTTGTATACTAAGCTATCATTTTTAGCTCAACATGTGTGACCCCACTTTTACCCTACATCTTCTTACTAAATAGCTGCCCATTCCAATTTCTTTTTCTGTTAATGGTATTACCCAAGATGAAAACCTCAGCATTTATGTATCTGTACAGATGCCAGTGTATGTGAAGACATATCCAAAAACCCATCCTCCCAGTACCCTGTTCCTGCGTGTGTGCACTGGCATGGCTGGGACCTGGTGTTCAGAGTGGGTTAGGGAGTCAGGACAGAGAGGGAGAGGCATGGGGTGAGCGTGGAGGGGCCAGACACTAACTGTGTACCCCACATGTGAATGAAACTGTAGATACTCCAGCCAGGAAGATTTATATTCAGTGAGAAATGTGAGGGACTTCCAGATCCCATGGCTGGATTCTAAATAAGGTCTTCACCAAAAGGATCTGCAAAAACCAAAGTTTAGTGGCTAATGAAAGAATCCCTTTATTTTATTTTATTTATTTATGTATTTATGTATGTATGTATGTGTTTATTTATTTATTTGAGATGGAGTCTTGCTCTGTCGCCCAGGCTGGAGTGCAGTGACGTGATCTCGGCTTACTGCAAGCTCCGCCTCCCAGGTTCAGGCCATTCTCCTGCCTCAGCCTCCCGAGTAGCTGGGACTACAGGCACCCGCCACCACGCGTGGCTAATTTTTTTTGTATTTTTAATAGAGATGGGTTTTCTCCGTGTTAGCCAGAATGGTCTCAATCTCCTGACCTTGTGATTCTCCTGCCTCAACCTCCCAAAGTGCTGGGATTACAGGTGTGAGCCACCGCGCCCAGCCAAAAGAATTCCTTTCAATTGCTGAGCAAGTAACCTGAGACCCAGAGAGGTTAATTTCCTTCCCCAAATCTCTAGACTTTTTGGCCAGTGCTCCTATTATCATCACTTTATAGACTGTATGTTTTTCATTTATCATCTGTATTTATTGTATTATAGTTTATATTATTCTATTGTTAAAGTGTTTCTAGAAGAGGTATTTGCTCTTGAAGCAAAAGAATAGCGTAATGTCGCTAAGTTGTAACAAATGGAAACACATAGCCATAAATAATTTCTAATTATGTGCCTTGACCTCCCACTGTATGGGCATTAAGCATTTCAAATAAGAGTTGCTTTGTGTGTATGACCAAGTTTTTAACTGATGAGAATGGAAACCAACATCCTGCATACTCTGTTGGAATCAGTGTGAATGGCATTGGCTTTTAATTTCTATTGGAAATGTCTGTATCCTAAATTTCAGACGTGGATGTGAGTACTGGATGAAGATTATAAGTGGTTATTAAAATATTAATTTTCAGTGAGTTATCTCAAAGCCTTGGATATTTATTCTCAAGAAGGCCTATAGAAAAAAAAGTTTTAATATTGGAAAAACATAAGTATAGTTTTCATGTAGTATTTTTATATTGATTTGACTCTCAGGTGAGAGGAGATGTGGTTAAGTAGCTGTGTAGTTTCTCACTGGTGTAACCCTAAGAAATTAGGGTTATTTGAGGCTATCACTTTGAACTAATTTAAAAGAATTATTTGTATTTTATTTAGATATCGAAACTATACAGGCCGGTCGCGGTGGCTCAAGCCTGTAATCCCAGCACTTTGGGAGGCCGAGACGGGCAGATCACGAGGTCAGGAGATCGAGACCATCCTGGCTAACACAGTGAAAGCCTGTCTCTACTAAAAAAATACAAAAAACTAAACGGGTGAGGTGGCAAGCGCCTATAGTCCCAGCTACTCGGGAGGCTGAGGCAGGAGAATGGCGTAAACCCGGGAGCGGAGCTTGCAGTGAGCTGAGATCCGGCCACTGCACTCCAGCCTGGGCTACAGAGCGAGACTCCGTCTCAAAAACAAACAAACAAACAAAAAGATATCAAAACTATATGATACTTTTAAAATTTATAAGTGCATAATTTAACCAAAATAATTACAGTAAAGTTATTTGGAATTGTTTTTGCTAATCAAGGCATACTTTCTTTAGTTTTTAGTAAAACATAGTTGAAAATACCCTCATTAGGCGAAGCTGTTGATCAGCCTATATCGGCAGGCTTTCCTGTGTTGTGGGTATGTAACTGAAATGCATTCATTCACCACAGTTTTCTTTTTACTGGAAGTTTTTTTTTTTTGTTTTTTTTTTAAATCTCAACTTAAGTATCCCACCCATCTCCCCAAAAGACAGTAGGAAGTGCTGTTCCAGTTTTCTTCTGTAATTCTCAGATGGCAAAAAAGGAAATATGCATGTTCGAGAACCAGCATAAGCGTGTCCACAGCTGTGAAGAGCAGTCAGCAATTCATCCAGTCAATCATTTAGGTTCCTCAGAAGTGTGACTCATTTATTCCTTGAACCACAGTTGAATGTCTAGGTTCAACCAGGCACTCTGCGGCAAGCTGGGGCTCCCAAAACCTGGCTGTGGTCCCAGTTCTTAGTTCTTACAGAGCTGCACAGAAAGCGAAAAGATATTATTCAAATGATGATGGGAATGTATGGACAACTAGGACCTGTGGCAAGAGCCATGGAAGACAGGCACACGGTGCTCAGAAGGCCTTTTGCCGGTGGAGATGGGGTCAGTGAATGCCCTTCTGAAGTTGGAGGAGCCAGTGCACGTCTGAGCCCAGGCACATGAGGTTGGGGGAATCAGATAAGGGGCCAGGTCTGCGGTGGTGGGAGGAGGCGTGCAAGAGAAAGCTGGAGAGAGACATGAAGGCCAGGCCAGACCATGAAGGGCGTCGCAGGCCGATCTTGAGGAGCCTAAATGATATGACCGCAGTTAGAAACCAAGTGTTTTAACTAGAGAGAGACCATAATCAGCCTTGCAATTCACAAAGATTGCTCCGACTGCAGTGTGGAGGATTGTCTTTTCTTTTTTTTTTGAGAAGGAGTCTCGCTCTGTGGCCCAAGCTGGACTGCAGTGGTGGGGGATCTGGGCTCACTGCAAGCTCCGCCTCCCAGGGTCACACCATTCTCCTGCCTCAGCCTCCCAAGTAGCTGGGACTACAGGCGCCCACCACCATGCCCGGCTAATTTTTTTTGTATTTTTAGTAGAGACAGGGTGTTACCGTGTTAGCCAGGATGGTCTCGATCTCCTGACCTCGTGATCCACCCACCTCAGTCTCCCAAAGTGCTGGGATTACAGGCGTGAGCCACCGTGCCTGGCCAAGGATTTTCTTAACGACTTCATGGTCCTGTTTTATCACAGTTTTTTTATGGCGAGTTCCTGCAAAATGTAAGCTGTTTTGTTCACTGTTGGTAGGAAATCAAAGAAGACAGTTCCTTGCTCAAGAGTTTTACTTAATGGTCTACTTCTAAAAATCCACTTTTATTCTGACTTGTAATCAAGGCAGGCCCTCTTATCCATAATTATCCTTGGAACTATATCCCACCATTCATTAAATTGCCACTTATTTTTTCATATTGGTCAGTATTCGATTGTGTCCTGGACTCCACATGAAACCCATTATAGTGTCTGTTCAGCACCCCGAGAGGTGAGGGTTGCAGTCACTGATTTCTGTGGAGATAACCAAATCTGATTCCTTCACCCGGATGTTTATTTTACATTGAGTCAAAGATAAATATAGTTGGACATTAGTTAAAGCATGTACTTGGTAATTAAAACAGCATTTATTTGGTAATGACTAGACAGTAAGAGAAATAGCTGAGCTCCATTCTGACTTGTGCAGAGGTGACCGGATGTTTTAAAGGGACAGTGGCTGGTGGAGTGCAATGGGGAGTGGAGCAGAGTCAAGGAAGTGAAGAATTTTACAATGCAGGAAGGGGTGTGGTCCATATGGGACCCATGTTGGTTTGCTAACTGGGACTTATCCAGGTTAGACTCCTACCTTCCCATGGAGGCTGGGAGACAGGGGCTCTCTCTTTGAGTGTTGGCTGGAACAAATAAAAATTCTTTGGGAAGCCTTGATTTCTCTGAGGCAGGCATTTTAAGGGGGGCTGAACCTCCTGGGGATGTGGTCTTGAGCTGTTAGCTTTAACAATGCAACTTCTGTTTACAGATTTTATTGAAATTTGAACATTTTCTTTGGAATTTAATAATTTTGTATGTGTGTGTTTGTTAAGAGAGAGGATATAGATAATCTAAGCCATTTTAAAAACTGAATCAGTTTAGTGACAAGTATACACTATATATAAAGAATCTAAGTGGATTTCATAGATAAAATAGATATAAATAGAGCTAATAGATCTAACATAGCACTGATGAATTTTCATAAGGAAATACACGCATCTCTGGCACCCAGATCAAGAGATGGAGAGTTACCAGTATTCTAGAAATCTCTTTGTGCCTCTCTCAGTCACTAACCTCACGCCCAACTTAACACTATCCAGATTTCTAACAGCATAATTTAGCTTTGCAAATTGTGTTTGAACTTTATAAATGTGCTCTTTTGTGTCTGGCTTCTCTCACTCCATGTTGCTTATGAGATTCATCTGTGGTGTTGCCCATGGCAGTAACTCCCTCCTGTAGCTGTGTAGAGAGGTCAGAAAGCCAGGTGTGGCTCAGGCCAAGTCTAGCTTGTTGGCCTTATTTTGTACAGCCCATGACCTAAGAATGGTTTTTACATTTTTAAAAGATTGTAAAGAAAATAAGCAAAGAATAATAGATGATAGGGATTGTATGCAGCCTGCAAGGCCTAAAATACTTGCTTTTTAGCCCTTTGCAGAAAACATTTGCTGATCCGTGCTCTATATAGCATTCTAGTGTATAAATATACCATACTATCCATTCTACTGTTGGTAGACATTGGGGTTATTTCCTGACTTGTGCTATTTTGAATGATGCTGTTTTGAATATTCTTGTGCAGGTATCTTGGTGCACGTAAGTACAGACTGCTATTAGATGTCTACCTGGGAGTGAAATCACTGAGTCAGAAAGTTTGCGAGTGACACTCAGCCTTGGTAGATACCACCAAATGGGTTGCTAAAGTGGCTGCACCATTCATTGTACACTTCCAGCAGCCATATATGAAAGTTCCATTCACTCTATAGCTTCCCAACACTCAGTATCATCAGTGTTTTTCTTTTTAGCTGTTCTTGTGGGTTTAGTGACAGCATGTTGTAGTTTTAATTTGCGTTACCTTGGAGACATCGAGCTTGAGCATCTGTTCATTAGTTTGGGGGCTATGTGGTATCCTCTTATGTGAAATGCCTATTTTTTGGCCATTTTTCTGGGGGTTGACTGACTTTTTTAAGTTGATTTTTTAAAGTTCTTTATATATTCTAGATATGAGTCCTTTGTGTATTTATGGGTTTCATATATCTTCTCCCATCCTGTGACTTGTCTTTTTACTGTCTTAATGGTATCCTCTGATGAATAGAAGTTCTTAATTTTATTTTAGTCTAATTAACATTTTTATTGTTACTGCCTTTTGTGGCCTAATAAATCTTTACTTACCCTAAGATCATGAAGATATTCTCATTTGTTTTCTTCTGGAAGCTTTATTGTTTTATCTTTTACACTTAGATCTACATCAGCTGGAAATGACTTTAGTGTATGGTGTGAGGCAGGGGTCAAGGTTCATATTTTATTGTACAGATATTCAGTTGCTTCAGCGTCACTGATTGAATAGGCCATCCTTTCCCCAGGCCCTGTTGTGTCACCTTAATAGCAATGAAATGGAAAAAGTAATCCATAATAGACCCACACATAAATGGTCACTTGATTTGTCTGTCTTTGGGCTAATACCACACTGTCTAAATTACTGTTGCTTTCTAATAAGTCTTGATATCTGGTCCTGTACGTTTTCTGGCTTTGTTTATATTCAAGAATATTGGAATTTTTCTTGTCTGTTTACATTTACATATATTTTAGAATCCACCTTGTCAATTTTCATTTCAATTAAGATTACATGGCATCTATAGATTAATATGGAAACACTGAAATCTTTACAATTGAGTTATTCAATCCTTGGTCATTATAATAGTTTTCCACTTTCAAAAGCTAATTTAATTCCATTTTTATTTTCAGTGTTTCAAAACAACACCACAAATAACATTCCTCCCTCCCCGACCTGTGCTGATTCCATCAACTTCAGAAGCAGAGATTGAAATGGATATTTGAATAGCCAGAACCAAAATGTTGACCAGCAAAAAGCCTGGCAAGATAGTGATAAGTTTCTGTATCTAGCATTTTGAAGAGGATGTAATTAGGATAGAGACGTGATTGAATCCAAGCGAGAAAGGACCTTCAAGGTCATCTGCTCCAATTATTAATGTTGTGTCTCTATGCATTTTATTGTGTAACCAGCTCCATTTTACTGTGACTTTAAAAATTACCATGTAGGTGTCGGTGCTCAGTGCATGGGGTAGCAGCTTGGATAAATACCCATGGCATGTATTGTATATTACAAAATGGTGAGAAGAGAGGCTTTTGAAGGTTCTCACCACAAATAAATGATAAATGTGTGAAGTGATGGATACACTAACGACCCTGATTCAATCGTTATACAATATAGACGTATGTCAAAGCATCAAACTGTACACCATAAATATGTACAATTGCAACGTGTCAATTAAAAAATAAAGAAATTTTTAAAATATGTAGCATGGTGTTGGCACTTTCTAGGCAGCTTTTCTCTTCTTATAAACTTTTATGTTTTCACTCTAGGACTGTCCTTTCATTGTATGTATGACCTATGCCTTCCATACCCCAGATAAACTCTGTTTCATCCTGGATCTGATGAACGGTAAGCAAAACTTGGAAAGTCTGACTGCCTTGAAAGACTTTGCCATGATGTTAAATCTTAGCATGCATTAATCTAGGCAGACTAGCAATGTGGGTCTTTCAGGTAATTAGGTTCCCCCTGAAGTTTGAGGAAACGTTTTACCCTTTAATCTTCACTGAAAATTCGTTTTTAAATGTTGACTGCAACATCCTTCTCGGCCTCCCAGTCTCTTCCCAAGAAGTTGAATATTCTAGAAAAGATTCTCATAAAATACTTACAGTGAAACTTGATTTTCTGGAATGCAGCTGGCCTAGATCTTTAATTAGCTTATTTCCTGGCCCTCAACTTTTAGGAATGAAATACCTCATAAGAATATAGGCCAAAGATAGAAATGTATTTAAAAACCAACTTTGAAGGACTGACTTTGGGCCAAGTACAGATTTTAGCCCAATCTTCTGCACCTTCTAAATCTGCACTACTGTATTGATCTTTTAAACTGTGGATGATGATTTTGAAAATGCTGGAAAACGTTTGGCTAGAAAAGGAGCTTTCTGATACTAGAAAGTGTCATGGTATATATCTAAAGTATTTTTAGTAACAAGAACTGAAATAAAGCATACAATTCACAACTCACATGCCTAGTTTTTTTTATTTTAAGTTCACTTGAAGTTTTATTATGTTCCAAGTGTTTGATTTAAAACCAGATCTACCCCAAAGCATGAAGGAATTTCACAGCATAATAACGAGCAAAAGAAGTCAAACCCAGCAGCATCTACCCTAGGTGACCCTGCTTATGTGATTGCCAAAACAGGCAAAACTAATGGATGGGGAGAGAGGGCTGGAGTGACCTTTGTGTGAGTGGGACTGGGGGGTGAGGTCTTGACTGAAAGGGCATAGTGGTAGGGGAGCTTTTGGGATGCTGGGCATCTTTTCCATCTTGATGTGGTAGTGGTTTTACGGGAATATGTGTATGGAGAGAGAAATATGCTTGTGAAAGCAAGGGTAATAAAGTTGGACACACGCACTCATTTTTATAAATCAATAGAGGCTTCTCCCTTGTGTTATATAAAATCATTCCCTTACCCTGTTGATGGCATTCTCTGTCTCTGTAATTTCAGGCCATCTGATTATTTCCTTTCTCCAGCATTTTGTTATGAAAAATTTCAAGCAGATAGCAACGTTGAAAGAATTTTCCTGGGGATACCCACCCCCTGGATTTTTTATCAGTTAAAATTTTACTGTATTTGCTTTGTCAAATATCTGTCTATATGATCCATTTTTGTTGTTGTTGTTGTTGTTGTTGTTGTTGTTTTGAGACGGAGTCTCTGTCACCCAGTCTGGAGTGCAGTGGTGCGATCTCAGCTCACTGCAATCTCTGCCTTTCAGGTTCAAGTGATTCTCCTGCCTCAGCCTCCCGAGTAGCAGGGATTACAGGTGTGTGCCACCACGCCTGGCTAATTTTTGTATTTTTAGTAGAGACGATTTCACCATGTTGACCAGGCTGGTCTCGAACTCCTGACCTCAAGTGATCCACCCACCTCAGCCTCCCAAAGTGCTGGGATTACAGACATGAGCCACTGTGCCCATCCTAGGTTTTTTGTTTTTGTTTTTGTTTTGTCTATCCATAGAGCCATTTGCTAAGCTGTGTCTGTTGGATCACTCCATGGGTTGATTCATTTACTAGGATTTAAGTAATCAAAGCAGGTTAGCTGGTCCCATCTTGTGACGGCGGAACTAGGAGCTGAGCTGCCAGCCTGAAAATGGTGGCTTGGTTTTGCTGTCTTGTCCCTCTTGTCATTGCAGTTAAATCTTCTCAATGTTTAAATTTTCTCTATAACGTTTAAGTTGTTGCTAAACTACAGGAATGAAAGATAGGTATACAGACAAAGCAGAAGCATAGTTTCCCTTTTTCTATGGAGTCCTGATTATTTAGGATGAGAATGATTTTTGTGTCCTTTAAATTAATATGCTTTGAATTAAATTCTGAATCTGATTCCAGGGGGCGATCTGCACTATCACCTTTCACAACACGGTGTGTTCTCTGAGAAGGAGATGCGGTTTTATGCCACTGAAATCATTCTGGGTCTGGAACACATGCACAATCGGTTTGTTGTCTACAGAGATTTGAAGGTGAGGACGGTTGATGGACTCATTCTGCATAGTAGGCATTGTGTGAATGGTCCTCTAGAAGTCCCCTTCTATTTCACAGAGTCCTGTCATTTTCCTCATAGCCCTCGTCTCAGCCCTGATAAAGTCATTAGCTATATGACATTTTATCTCCTCTAGACCAGACTCTGCAGGGACGGAGCACATGTCTGTGTCTGTCATTATTATAACGCTGGTGCCTACTACAGTGCCTGCTGCAGCACATATACTAAGCCAAACATTTTCGTTGATCAGTTAATGAAAAGCAGTTTAAGCCAGGCATGGTAGCTCATGCCTATAATCCCAGCACTTTGGGAGGCCGAGGAGGGTGGATCATAAGGTCAGGAGATCGAGACCATCCTGGCTAACACGGTGAAACCCCGTCTCTGCTCAGAATACAAAAAATTAACCGAGTGTGGTGGCAGGCACCTGTAGTCCCAGCTACTTGGGAGGCTGAGGCAGGAGAATTGCATGAACCTGGGAGGTGGAGCTTGCAATGAGCCGAGATTGTGTCACTGCACTCCAGCCTGGGCGACAGAGGGAGACTCCATCTCAAAAAAAAAAAAAGAAAAGCAGTTTAGGAGCCCTTTTGGTGTCACACATTTCATAATTATAATTCAGTTAATGTTCACTAAGCAACTGATTTGGTTGTGGATCTGTAAAGGTGGACATGTACAATGATGAATAAGCAAAGAACATATATTTTATGGGGCTTAGAAGCTGGTGAGCTAAGACATAGAATGGCTGAGTCATAACTCCTCCGAGGCAAGGTCTATCAGTGAATAGTGGATTGCCGACCAGCCTGCGGAATTTCTCCCAAAGGCCACCCTCAGAGCTTTACGTTGTTTTGAGATTGTCTTAAAAATCACTGATAGAGTTTTAGATCCTTGAACTGTATAACCTCCAACTGCTGTGCCCAGGTTTCTGTTCTTGTCCTCTGTAAGAGCTCACTCGCCTTGAAAGCAATGATATAGGAGTATTCTGAGTTTTTCCATTGCAGAACGTGGTGCTTGGTCCTGGGTTTTACACGTGGGAGGGAGATAGAAGCTGGCTCAGGACGTCCATGGTGACACTCACCTAGTTGTATGGCCAACAGCCTGCAGGCAGGCATGGAGAGAAAGGAACCTTGACAAATTAATGATTGCGCAAACATAGAAATGCGTAAATAGTAATAAGAAAAATGATGGGACCGACAATTTCCCAATAGGCAAGAAGATTCCGGGAGAATGTGTTTTTGCCTCTCTTTTCAGATGCCTTCTTGAATGAACCCACAGTGGCCAACTGAAATGTACAGATTATGTTCCTTCCTCTAGGGAGCTGAGGTGCCGTGATTAGCTTTTGAAGATTACTTTCTAAGATATTATAAAAATTGTATTTTATTTCCAAGAATGTTATTTTTTTTTTTACAAAATACTTTGTGAATTTTAAACCTTTCTGTAAGGTTACAGAATTATTATTACTCCCTTAGTTTTCCTATAAGCATAAAGAAGAAAAATGTATTTTTATTGAATTAGAAATAGCTAGACAATAGTTGGCCCTTGACGTTTTATTTCCTTATGCGAGCTTTGCAGAAGAACACAACACATGCTGAAGGCCCATGAAGCGCTATTGTAATACATTCTAATTTAAATCAATAACTGGTTTCTAATCATCTTTATGCTTTATTTTTATTTTCTAAGCTATTTGGAAGGCAGTGGTATTATTTAATTCCTATTCAAACTTAATTCTAGTCACTCATGATTATTCATGCTTCAGTTTTATAATAGCATGCCATTTATTTTTATTTCAAGCAAAACAGTAGTTGATCACCAGCAGAAAAATATTAAGATGCCTATAATTCAATGTATATCAGAGAGACTAGATTTGTTGTTCATGATTATGATGACTAAATCTAATCTTCATGGATACATTTTATCAGAGTTGTGGTCACAATTATATTTGGCCATTTGGTAGGGCCCTACGTTAGTGATGTACTAATAAGCAGAAATGACATTTATTGGGATTAGTGTGGCACTATGGAATATTTTGATTGCTTAGGTCAGTGTTGATACATTCTTGGAAGCTTCCTCTCTGTCCTGTGCTTCATGGCTTTACTCTTAGAAATCCTTGTGGTTCTCAGAAGCCCGGAAGCTGGTGGACTCACCTCCCGCCCTTGAGAGGCACGCTGTCCTTTCTGGGCAGCGGTCCTTGGTACGGGGAAAAGGAAATGCTTTTAACGCTGATGAACTGTGGTCCCGACATTCCTGTGTTACCTGCCCCATGTTTCATTTTCTAATGAGTAGAATCCTCCACCTCTATCGTTACCACTTTTCTGCCGAAGTTAAAATGAAAAATATTATTCTCAGTATCATGCCCTACTTCGATGTGATGGGATCAAGCTGTAATTTGTGTTTAGGAACAAGCTATGATAAAATAGTACGATATCAAGCATCCGCACTCAAAGTTCTCAAAGCCTCCATGGCATTTGGGGCACTCTTAAAGATCATTCTCTTTCTGTTTAGCCAGCAAATATCCTCTTGGATGAACACGGACACGCAAGGATCTCCGATCTTGGTCTTGCCTGTGATTTTTCCAAAAAGAAGCCTCATGCGAGCGTGTAAGTAATGCGTCAACTTCGGTTCACCATCATTGCTCTCATGCCCCTTCAAAGGCGTGGCCATTTGTCACCGCCAGTGGTGATTTTCAGTATGTCGGGAAGATCCGACATCACAGGTTGTGGGAAAGGAGATAAGAATGGGGAGCCTTCCTCCCTGTCTGCGGAGAGCAGGAATTAACCCACAGTGGAGTTGAACCTGCTCAGGGACCAGGGTGGCCTCTAAGAAACAATCAGGACCTCAGCAAGAAACCAGAATCCATGCTGCCCGTGTGACCCTAAAAGTCAGTCAGTTACTTAGTCTGTTAGTAATCGTAGTAATAAACCCCTCAAAGCAGTCCTAAGGATAAGTGAAAGAGACGGTGCCTAGAAAGGCACCGAGGCAGCTGCATGCATGTGGTCAAGGGAGGTCCTCGGAGCCAAGTTTCTGTCTTCATCTACTTTTCCTTCTTTTTCAAAAAGGCTTTTCTTCCTTTTTTTCCCTGAAGAGAAATTAGAAATATTTCCCTCTCTCTTTTTTAATTAAAGAAACAAATCATCTGCTTGCAGTTTAGGCTTTCACTGCAGGTCATATTGTTAGACTTGGGTCTTGCACCAGGTCCTCTACGTGATCAGCCGGAGGGAACTCTTGAGGCCACAGCCCTCAGCCAGCACCTGACACCTCCGGGACACCAGACTGCTTCTGGGTGTGGCCCTGCTTGATCAGTGCAAACTGGCCCTGAACCGAGGACTTCTCTCTGTACTCAGAGTTGTTAAAAAGACAGCAGGACTAGGACAGTTTCGGCTCTGCAGAAACACCATGGAACATGCACTGGTTTTCATTTCTGTTTCTTTGGTAGGCGATGATCTGGGTGGAAAGTATGAACACATGTACAGTTTGTGGAAAAGCAGACAACTTTTGCTTTATTTTGTCTTTTTAAATGTCTCCTCCTTAGCACTGAATCTTTTAAAATTACATCTTAAGCTAACATTCATCTCTGTGTTGAATGGTCTTGAAAAAAACTCCCAATGGTCTCATTTCATGCATCTGTGCAGAAAATAAACCACAGATCCTTCTCTTTGTGTAACCAGAAGTAAAGTGGTTCTGAACTGCAATACTTTATGAAGGACTGCATTAAATCAGAATTGCCTTTTAAAGCTCTGATCAAATGTTAATAGTGAATAGCACTGTTTCTGTAAACATATTTCCCTTTTTCTACGGAATCTGGGATATGGTGATAAAAGCATTAGCATTTTGCTAGCACTTTACAATTATTAGACCAGAACCTGTGGTCGTATAAGCTTCTCTCAGGGAGTTCATCAGATTCTTTTAAGAGAGTCATTTGAATTTTTAATGCCACAGCTATTTGGTATGCTAATTTTTTTGGTTAGTATAGTCATAACTAAATATGAATCCAAGGGTTCATAAGAAATACTCTTCCAGAGGAATTAACTTTCAGATATGGGGTTATTTCCTAGCAGGACCTAGTGCACTTTTTGCTATAATTCACATATCAGCTGTGAATGGTGGGCTGGTCTTTTGCCTGCTCTGGAAAGCACAATATTTGAAAAGCATCTGTAAAGAGGTAGGACTGAGAAGGTGGGTTTCCATGTTTAAATAATGATCAGGAGGCCACTACTTTAAAAAGGTAAACATACAATACAATTTTATCTTTTTTATTTTTTTGAGACAGGGTCTTGCTCTGTTTCCAAGACCGGAGTACAGGGGCATGATCATGGCTCACTGCAGCCTCCCTCTCCCGGGCTCCAGTGATCCTCCCACCTCAGCCTCCCAGGTAGCTGGGACCACAGTCATGTGCCCCTACATTCAGCTAATGTAAAAAAATATATTTTTATAAAGACAGGGTCTCCCTGTATTACCCAATCTGGTCTCTAACTCCCGGACTCAAGCAACCCTCCCACTTTGGCCTCCCAAAGTGCTGGGATTACAGGTGTGAGCCACCATGCCCTGTCAAAATCCTGTACTTTTAAGTAAAGGAGGCATTTTGTGGCTAGGAAAAAAGACTCTGGAGCCAACAGATCTGGGTTTGGGTTCCTCTTCCTGGTTGTGTAAGCCTCATTTTTCCCTTCTGTGAGGAAGAGAGGACAATGATACTTATCTCCTGTGATAGTTGTGAGGGTTAAGTTAATGAAATAATTCAGCGAGTCTTTAACATTTGCTGTGTGCCAGCTGCTGGCGACGCCACTGTAAGACAGAGCTGACCCCTGACCTCCTGGAAGGAGCAGCCCTGAGAACTGTCCCTGAAGTGACCAGCATATGGAGTGGTGGCGGTACCAGCAGCATTCACTTTGTCTGAATATCCAGCTGTCCCAGTCATGCATGTGTCATCCTCGTGGAAACCCCATAAATTATAGGTGTCACTCTCCAATTTTTGTGGTATGGAACTTGAGGTTCAGAGAAATTAAGTAACTTAAACCAGGTCACATGGCTGGTATGCCATGGGGCTGGAATTATAATCCAGTTCTATCTGATTCCAAAGCCTGTACACTGTGTGGATGAACTCCCTGAGGCTTTGGCATGATCTATTTAGTACAAGACTGAAGATTTTAAGCCACAATTTCACCCTGAACTTGGTTTATCAGATCTTTTCAAAGCTGTAGATGTGATTCTTAGACTTCATCTCGCGGCCAGCCCATCTCCAAAGTAGTATTGTAGTTGAGGTTTGTGATTTGAGCTTAGACTTAGTCCATTTAACGAAAGAATCGCAAATTATTGTAAACTAGAAGTTAACTGTGAAGTAGCCATGAAAAATCACAGGAGAACTTCTGGAGCTGAGCAGATTGTCAGTGACTAATTTGAGTCCTAGCTTATTTTATCTAAGAACACAAAGCTGTGTCTCATGTCACAGTGTCTTAAAACGTCCAAGTGTTCGTTCAGTATTAATAGTAGTACAGATCTTTAGTGGAATGCGTCAGGAAGCATTAGCAGCTGGCCCATAGGCGGAATCAGAAAACCTCAGCGGCAGGCAGTCCAAGGTTGAGTTTTCGTTGCATCTGGTATAAGCAGGGGGGACTGGTCTGCATTCATTTCTTATTTATCCCGTAGATATCTATTGTAGATATCTTTCCATTCCAGAACTGTGACTTGATCCTGATAAGGTACAGATTACAAGGTCACCAGAAAGGACTTTCCAGGCAACCCTGAAATTAAACCTTCCCGGAAAGTGGCTTGGATGCCCCTCATAGAAATCTCCAGTGCTCTCACGGCGTGGCCTGATGGCCTTACACCGTCAGACTTTAGGTTCGGGCTGATTGAGCTTTCCAGAATGCTGGATTTGCCCTGATGGACCAACGCCCATCTTTACTATTTGATAAAACTCTCAAATGCACCTCTTAGACAGAGAGTACTGGACCCAGTGATGACCCAGCCTCATTAGTGATCCAGGATCATTTATTCTGAGTAGATTCTCACTGTTGCTGAGCATAAGCAAGTTAAAAATTCTTTTTTTTTTTTTTTTTGAGATGGAGTTTCACCCTCGTCACCCAGGCTAGAGTACAATGGCACGATCTCAGCTCACCACAACCTCTGCCTCCCAAGTTCAAGTGATTCTCCTGCCTCAACCTCCCGAGTAACTGGGATTACAGGCATGCGCCACCATGCCTGGCTAATTTTGTGTTTTTAGTAGAGAGAGAGTTTCTCCATGTTGGTCAGGCTGGTCTCAAACTCCCGACCTCAGGTGATCCGCCTGCCTTGGCCTCCCAAAGTGCTGGGATTAGAGGCATGAGCCACCGCACAGGGCCTAAAAATTCTTACACTATGATAAGCACGGAGATGCAGATCCCCAACATGAATCCAGTTGCTGCTGTATGTGAGCCCATGATGTATGTGCAGTGCTCACAGCAACCCTGCGTGGTAGAGACGTCGTCTGATTACCCATTTTACTGATGAAGAAAATTAATCGTGGATGAAGAGGTTGTAGGGCATGCAGCCTTTTGCCAGAGCCCCTTCAGGCTGCATCTTGGAAAGTTCCCCACTGGCTGCCTCGCGTGCTTCCTGCTGCAGCCGGGCGAGCTCAGTCCTTCAAGGAGGGGTGGAGAGTGCTAGAGCGGGAAGGGCTTTCGAGTTGCAGATGGTGCAGATTATATATAAAATGGTTGTCCTCTCAAGTGATTTTTCTCAACTTCCTGAAAATCATCTTCACATTTGCTTAGTGCTGAGTCCTTTGACCTTCTGCAGCTTTTGAAACCTGACACGTGATTTCGCCATCTTATGTACAACTGGGCTCATGTTCCTCCTTCTTCCCCATCCCCCTAGGGTCTGTTGCTGACCATGACCAAGCCGATGCCCCTGCGAGCTCAGGTCCTCAGCACAATTGGCAACACCACACAGAGGTGGATGTCTCCATGCCTTCGAGGTCCACAGCACCTCTGTGTGGTCGCCTGTTCATTGTCCGTTCTCTCTGCCCTTTGCCTGCCTCTCCTGACCCCACGCACCTCCACACGAGAGCTACTGAAACGGCAGGAGAACCTTTGCTCTTCATAGCTGGAGTAGAGAAGGACTGATGAGAGCCCGAACTTGCATTTTACATATTTATTTCATATGCTTATTTATGTTAATTCATATATGAGCGAAGGCAGAAAAGAGCGTTTTCCCATTGGATGTTCAGTGCGTTGCGTTTGCAGTGAAGCACCACGGTCCCCTCTCCTTTGTTTACAGTCGCTGCCGTCTAACGAATGACACCCGGACCTTGGGGTGCTGTGAGTGTTTTCTGAAGTGCGCATGCTCTGATAACTGTATCCTTCCTTCTCCCTAGTGGCACCCATGGGTACATGGCTCCCGAGGTGCTGCAGAAGGGGACAGCCTATGACAGCAGTGCCGACTGGTTCTCCCTGGGCTGCATGCTTTTCAAACTTCTGAGAGGGTGAGTGGAAACGCATCCTTCTAATGCTGTCCTCATGGCAGCAGGAGCCTGGATGAAAGCTGAGGATATGTAGCAATGACTAGATGCTAATGTTATTTTAAATCACACAGTGATCTTTAAGCCACGTGCTAATCTGGAAGACTGTGTCTTAGAAGAGTGAAAGCTGCTTCCCGATAAGCTGCTAGATAAAAGCTTATGGCTTCGTATTTTTATTCTATACCATGTAGGAAATCAGAATTCTTTTAAACCTAAAATTAGACTGCTTTGAATTTTTTTCTGTGATAAGCCACATTGTAGGAATAAGTATTGTTTTGAAATGTAGATAATTTAAAAAGGTAGAATAATTTTTTCCCTAGGAATTAATTATTCATCATCTTGAGCGTTTACAGAATTTTGAGAGTTACAAAAAAAGGATGAAAACCCAAAGTAAACCTATTTTATTTTATTTGTTTTTGTTTTGTGTTGTTTTTAGACAAGGTCTTTCTCTGTTGCCCGGCTGCAGTGCAGTGACACAAACATGGCTCACTGTAGCCTCGACCTCATAGGCTCAAGCAATCCTTCCACCTCAGCCTCAGTCTCCTGAGTAGCTGGGACTACAGACACGCACCACCACACCTGGCTAATTTTTAAATTTTTTTAGAGATAAGGTCTTGCCATGTTGCCCAGGCTGGTCTCGAACTCCTGGCCTCAAGCCATCCTCCCACCTCAGCCTCCCAAAGTGCTGGGATTAAAGGCATAAGCCACCACACCTAGCCGGTAAACCCATTTTAAAAAGCTTGCATTTATTGGGGAAAATGCTGAAATTAATTTGTCTTTTAAAGCTAGTAGTATACTTGGCCCTTGTTCTGAACTACCAAAGATGATGAAATAAAGTAGAAAAGATTATGAGAGGAAAGTACTCTCAAAATATGTTCTCATGTTAAACACTTAACAATTATGTTAATGTTTCCATTAATTCTAAGACTTTTAGCCAATTTTAATGGAAAGCTTCAATTAAATTTTTTTTTATTCAGACTCATAAAGCATTTTACATTAAAATTTCCTAGTTAATGATTTTCCTGTTAATATTTTCATATGAACACAGTCCTAATAGTTTGCTAAACATTGCACCTTTCCATCGGAGAGCCTAAGTGAGCACCACTGCATTTTATTACATTTAGCACATCCTGGAGAGAGGCTGAATTCCACATTCCCCCAAAACTAGGTTCTGAGCACCCTCTGTTTTGTCAAGACTCTGATAATCCAGTTGTTCTCTGCTTTGCATTCACTTGTGATCTAAAATTGTATTATTGCTTAGAAAGTCGGGTTCTGTTATTCCTTAATTGAATTATTGTATTTGTGGAGCCTGGATGGCTTTAATTCATGTCATCAGACTAGCTGACCTAATTAGAGAGTTTATCTAAGCAAACCAGAGAAAGCCATTTCCCCTATGAGATGCTGTTCTCCCCAGTGGAGTCGCTTCTATGCATATGGAGTGCATGAAGACACCCAGGAGGTCTTTATTTTGGATCTCTGCTGGAGATGTGGTTGGAGACAGACAGCCCCTACCTACAGAATTTGGAGATGATTAAAAAAAAAAAAAAAACTCTATGTAACAGCTGAACTGTTGAATGCAAAAATCAGCAGTAAAATCGGACAATCCCAATACAAGCCTTGTATCTAGGACTTTGTGTACTTCTCTGTTTTGTGACTCTAGCTGTTCAAATGTCTGTGCATATAGGCTGGAGAGGATGTGGTGTAACACTACTTCACTTTTTAAAAGACTGGAGGGTTTTGTTCAATAACTCTGTCTGCTCCAACAGTGTGGTTTGTGGCTAATAAAATGAATTCAGTCTAATTTCACTATAATTCAGCTTTGGTGTACTGAACTGGAAGATATCAATTCCTTTGTGAAATCCTCCACCGGTCTTGATGGAAGCATTATGGTCAGTGGGGCTCCTGCTGAAAAGAGTCTTGACAGACAAGAAGACGTCCTGAGGATGGCTGTGAGGATGGGATGGATGGATGAGATGAATGGAGAGTGGTAAAATAGCTAGAAATGATGGCTTCTGTGGAAAGACTGAAAGAGCTGAGTGCAGAACTTAGGGGAGCGTATGGTTGACTCCAGCTGCCGGAAGGCCATCTTGTTGAAGGGATCATATGCATACTGTGTAACTCCAGAGGGATGCATTTTGAGGAGAAAAAAGATTGCAGTTTGATACAAGAATGTCCAGTCGTTTGAGCTACCCAATGAAGGAGAGTTCTGCCTCATGGATAGCAGGCTCCTTGTCACTGTCTGGTGACCATTGATTGATACTGAAGTGGAAGGAATCTTTCCAGTGTGTGATAGATAGGATTAGATGAATCTCCTCCACTAGGATTTATTATCTCGTGCCATTCCTCCTATTGTTTATTCAGAAGTCACTCACAGATAGGATGTAGCACTGAAGCCAAAAAGCAGGAAACATTTTTGACTTAAGTGATTGAAATTAAATGTGATAAGCATCTATTGAGTACCTGTAATATACAAGAGACTGTGCTTGATGCTGTGGGGAAAGGAAAGGGGTAAGGAAGGAAAAAAGGAGGAGAGAGGGAGGAAGGGAGGAAGGAGAGGGAGGGAGGAGGGAAGGTGAAAGGGAAGGAGGAAGGAAGGTGAAAGGGAGGAAGGAGAGGGAGGAAGGAAGGAAGAAGGGAGAGAGGAAGAGAGGGAGGGAGGGAGAAAGGGAGGGAAGGAAAGAGGAAGGAAGAAGAGGGAAGAGAGGGAGAAAAGGGAAGGAAGGAAGGAAGGGGGGGAGGGAGGGAGGGAAAGAAGGAAAGAAGAAGGGAAAGAAGGAAGGAAGAAAGCCGACCAGCCAGGAAGAGAGACACACAAAATCCTTGAGGGATAGGCAGTCCAGGAGAGTAGCTGTTGATACACACACTGTATCAGGAGCTGGCCGAGCTGTGCTGACTTCAACAGGAGCGATGTGCTGGGAGCACAGACATGGGAGAAGCAGTTCTAACCTGAAAGTGTTGGGTTGACCTCATGTGGGAGATGGTCTGTGGAGTAGATTTTGAAGATAGATAGGATGACAATACAAAGCCTGGAAGCAGAGGAAATATCAGCTTTCTATGGTTCTCAAGAGGGAGGAAGTGCTGCAGGAGAAGGCTCAGATGGTTGGGTCAGCACTGGGAGGACCTCGGATGCAGTGCTGGGAAGTTTGACCTTTATCCTCCAGGCCCCGAGGCTGAAAGCTTTTCAGTGGAGCAGCAGCAGGGTTGGATGGCTTTTCAGTAAGATTATTCTGGAAGCAGCCTGGAGCAATGGAGGGACTGAGACAGGGTGCAGGCAGAAGAATGTGAGCAAAAGGCAGTGAGCTTGCACAGCAGCCCTGGAACCTGACAGGAGCAGATGACACGGCGGTATTGCAGAGTTAGCATCCGTAATGCTTCAGTGTTTTCGTGGGGTGTGTGTAGTTGTTGTTGTTGTTTTTTTAATAGATGGTTGGATATGGAAGGATAGGAGTTAAACATGGTGCAATTTAGATTCCAGATGATTGGGAGAATAACGATGTCATTACTAAAATCAGTGTCTGTGAATTTTCAGTGATTCACGTGAAACTGAAGTGTCTGGAGGGCCTTTCAGGAGCAAAGCCCTGTGGCGAGGCGGGCAGGAGGTGGGACTGTGTGCTGGAGCCTTCACTGCCTCAGCTGTGAACAAGGGGATAATGCCACCTGTTCTACTTCCTCACAAAGTTGCATGTGGGAGAACCTCAGAAATCTGCCTCTCAGCCTCCTGTGCATTTTTCCTATGCTGTGTACAAGGGAGCCCCTAGCAGCTGTCTTTTCTCAGGCACACGGAGCCTAAGAAATCAACTGAGTGGAGGAGGAGATTGACTAGCCAGGGTCTCCGAGGCACAGGCTTGGGCACAGTCCCCTCTGCCTCCTGACACTCCCCTGGAGCGCCGTCCTCAACCCTGGGGGACACTGGGCAATGGCTGGAGGCATTCTTGGTCATCATAACTTCGGGGGGGGCTGTTACTTGGCATCCCCTAAGTAGAGGCCAAGGATGCTGCTCAACATCCTATGAGGCACAGGACAGCCCCTGCAACACCCCGACAAAGAATTATTTAGCCCTAAATGTCAACAGTGCCGAGGGTGAGGACCACTGCCCCAGAGCAAGTGCCCCTCCCTCCTCCCACAGCTGTGCAGTGAGGTTGAATCAGTGGCCACCAAGGAAGGGTCTTTCTATTTTGTCTTTATTTTATTTTATTTTATTTATTTATTTATTTATTTTTTTGAGACAGAGTCTCGCTCTGTCGCCGGGGCTGGAGTGCAGTGGCGCGATCTCAGCTCACTGCAAGCTCCGCCTCCCGGGTTCACGCCATTCTCCTGCCTCAGCCTCCCAAGTAGCTGGGACTACAGGCGCCCGCCACCGCGCCCGGCTAGTTTTTTGTATTTTTAGTAGAGACGGGGTTTCACCGTGTTAGCCAGGATGGTCTCAATCTCCTGACCTCGTGATCCGCCCGCCTCGGCCTCACAAAATGCTGGGATCACAGGCGTGAGCCACCGCGCCTGGCCGGTCTTTCTATTTTCTGTGATTTAATCCTCCTTGCTCTGACCAACATGTCCCCTTGCTTCGACCAATGTGCCCCCTTGCTTCTGCTGAAACACTTTTCTGCACACTTCATTTTGTCTTCATCCCCTACAAGAATACTGCAAGGCACTTGGAGAAGGAGTCTGGATGGGAGAAAGTTGTCAAGGCTTGAGAAGGCGTTTTGCGTCCCTGGACTCACAGTGATTGACTGGGCCACTCATATGCCTCATCTGTGGGTGCTGGTCACTACTGCTATTTCAGATGACTTTGTCAGATACTTAAGAGTGTCTGTGTATGAAGATGCATCTATGTTGCAAATCTGTGTAGCTGCTGTCCTGATCTTCACCTAGACTTAAGATGTCTGTTAAGGAAATCAATTGATGTGACAGTGGCCTCCATCTTAAGCTTGTCACTGTTGATTGTCTCCCTGTGGAGTTGTCAGATATGAGGAGAGAGCCTGGGCAGTGGCCTAGGGAGAACTGAGTGCTGCTGGCGCTATTGAGTTTGTTCCAGGCTGGGGAAAAAGGAAAGTTTATAAATATTTTGACAGCTACTGGCTTAGGTTTGAAATGTACATTTAATATAACACGCCATCTTTTGAGTATTTTATAATTAACTTTTGATGTGAGAGTTTTTAATCGCATAAGTTTTTGAACCCATTGTTTCCCCATGAAAATGATGTAGAGCTAACTTTGTGGGGGGTGTGTTTCCTCATCATTTATAATGTCCTGAACAATTTTCCAGTTCGTTTAGGGGAAACGTGCAGCTGTTCCATTCTATCTGTAGTTCAGAAAGCTACACTTGACCACAGGACATGTGAATTCTTTTCCCACAGCATTCCCTGATGCAGCCAGCGTGTTGCACGGGAAGAGCTTGGCCGTGCCTTGGAAGCTGTTGACAGGCCTGTTACTGTCTCCTATTTAAAGCGGCTGCATCAGGGAGCAGCTGCGATCGCACAGGATCTGTGCGCACCACGTGCCTCCCTCAGAATGGAGATTATTACTATCATAGGTTTTCTTTAACGTTTTTCAAAATAGAAACCAAGTCTTTGGCTTTGTTCACAAAGAATAATCAAGAATACATTGGAAACAGATGTGCATCAAGATTTCAACTTGAAAGCCCAAGCTGTCTGAACATGGCAGCATAGAATTGAAGAGCTGAAGAGCGTTTTCTGATAATTTCTCCTTGAGCCGGACATGGAATCGCTATATTTATAAATGGAATTTGTAGCAATGGGGCCCATGTGCTGGAAATGGTTTTGGCACCACTAACTTTAACTCCAAGTCCCCTCACAAGCCTCCCTGTGGTCTCATGAAAGACTTTTTAAATTTAGCACAGAGTGCTTGTGTCAGAACACAGCAGGCCGCAAGGACACGGGGACCAGATGCAGGAGTGGGGTCCTCTGGCTTTGCACGAAGGAGCCAGGTCTGAGGGATTTGTCAAAACACCAGGGGATCTTCACTTAATCCCTTTTTATACGTTAAGGAACTTCGTGGGGTGGAAACAGCTAAGTGTCAAGCAGGGAGACTACGGTTTTCGTAAGATTTGATAAACTTTCATTCCTTTTCTCTGCAACTGTAAACACCTTAATATTTCCATGAATTTTGTATAAAAGAATGATACAAGTATGTTTTTAAAAATTATAAATAACAGATATTGTTTGCTTTTATAGCTGCTTTTTAAATGTGGTAATTGTACATTTTTTCCTTGGAAATAAGGCAAAAAGAATATTTCCAATCAAAATCTGTTTTAAAAGTTAAATGCTTGCTGGGTGCTAATTTACCTTGTTTTGATCTTTTTTTTTCCCCCCAGATTAATGCTTTTAAGAGATGGCAATTAGTTTGTATTTCACGGCATGATATGGAAGGCAATAAAGGACTAGAGTGCCCTCTCTTGTGCAAAAATAAAATTAAAGTGTTTCAGACAATAAATGGTCTGAAATGTAATAATCTCAAAAGATAGTTCAATGTATAACCTAATTAATTCAGTAGGATGACCAGGTCAGTAGCAGTAAGTAGCAGTGCAAGATAAGTGGCATTTTCATTCTTTTTTAGAATCTCACTGATTTATGTATTCAACATTCTAATCCATTTTATGGAGTTAATATTAAAATATTTTACATAATATCCTGCCTGCCTCAGATTATGTCATATATGCCTTATAAATAAATTTATAAGATTATTACTTACCAGGCACATCTTGCTATAAGAAAACTCAATCATATCTGTCCCTTTAATTTTCAGAATGAAAAATCAACCACGGTATTCTAGTTTGCATATTTAATAGTGTCTTTTAATGATAAGATTTCCTTTGAAAACCAGCGTCTCCAAAATTTTAAAAACATGAGAAAGAGTAAAAGTAATCTGTTTTACACAGTTCACCAAGTAGACATTCATTTCCTGAAGTCAGAGTTATCTTTATTAATTTCACCAGTGATTACCGTATTAGGTACCTACCGTGTACTGCCATTGTCTTGGCTACTTGCATAGATGTCACTTTACTTTTTCCCTTCACCACTTCTGTGAAGTATGCGGCTTGATCCCCACTTCACAGATGAAGAATTGATACTGAAGGTTTCTATCTGGCTGACAGTCAGTAGACAGTCAAGTCGCAACTTGAACCCAGCTTTTGTGACTCTGGAGTCTGGGGTTCTGCACAGGGAAAGCAGGAAGTACGCAGAGCGGTGGAGAATTTGCTGGTGCATGGTTAGTTTCTGTTTTCATCCAAAGGATGTATTACTTAAAATGACTGATTTCTAGGGGTGAATCGTTTCATCTCCTTCATGTTTTGGTTCAACTGCTATTCCTGGGGCTGTTTGAGGAAACAATCTCCATTTTCCTGAAAAATGTACATGAAAGTTATTGTTTAGCTCAAACTCTCATATGACAAATGTTATATAAATGACTTTTATTCTCATGATTACCTGTTGGCTAGTTGTATGTTCTTTTCTAATGATATTTCCATTGGGACAGCACGTTTTAGGGCCACAAGTTCACTGAAGTGAGACTCAGGCAGTTCAAGTGAGATACAAGTCTTTCTATTTCAGGACCTAACGTTTGTTCGCCAATTCTTCCATGGAAATGATAAATGTTTATGACTTTTGCATTTCTCCAGTTTCGAATGAATAGTGATAGGACATCATACTTTACCCAAATATTAGTCAGTGATATGTGCTATATCACCTGATGCCATATTTTAATAGAACAATTCTTTATTTCTACAGTCACAGCCCTTTCAGACAACATAAAACCAAAGACAAGCATGAAATTGACCGAATGACACTCACCGTGGTAAGGGATTCAAAACTGTATTCTTGTCTGCATGGTAATTGTCATGCTTCGTTCCATCAATAATAAAAAATGCTATTACATAAAATATTATAGGAAATATAAAATTATGTATAAACATAATAGAAATTTGCTTTCTTGAAACAAATAAATGCAGATACAATTTCTAAAAGAATTTCTAGGAGAAAAATTAATGGAAATAGATGCCAAGGCAAAAATCAGGATTTACTAACAAACAGTGTGAGGAAGCTAAAGAAAATTGAGAACCAGAAGTAAAGAAATCAAAGAAAAGGAGAAATTACTGAGATGCCAACGAATGAGAATGCCTTCTGGTTCTTCTGATCTGCCCCCAGCCACTTTGATTTTGCAACTGATTAGTTACCTTTTTATGTGTCTATAGAGTAAATATTAATTCATAATGAGGCTGCAATTTTTAATACTATTCTTAGCCCAGTAATAGCCTTTAAATCTGGTTGAGTGTTAGGATACTGTTTCCATGAACGGATTTTTGAAATCTTACTCTTTTCCCCAGAATGTGGAACTTCCAGACACCTTCTCTCCTGAACTGAAGTCCCTTTTGGAGGGCTTGCTTCAGCGAGACGTTAGCAAGCGGCTGGGCTGTCACGGAGGCGGGTAGGCCATTGTTCCTGCCTTTCGGTATCTTTACCAGAAGAGCAAAAGAGTGATTTTAAATACTGCCTATCAAAAGTCATCCCTAGTCATTAAAATCTTCCATTTTGATATGAAAGGGGGAAAAAAAATCACATGGGAAATATACATATATTGTCCTATGTGTTTTATAATTAAGAAGTTGAAGAAGTCACTCACTTTTTTACTTTATTTATTTTTGAGATGGAGTCTTGCCCTGTCACCAGACTGAGTGCAGTGGCGCGATCTCGGCTCACTGCAACTCCACCTTCCTGGGGTTCAAGCAACTCTCCTGCCTCGAGCTCCTAAGTAGCTAGGACCACTGGTGGTGTGCTACCATGCTGGCTAATTTTTGTAGTTTTAGTAGAGACAGGGTTTTGCCATGTTGGCCAGGCTGGTCTCAAACTCCTGACCTCAGGTGATCACCTGCCTTGGCCTCTAAAAGTGCTGAGATTATGCGTGAGCACTGGGGCCAGAGCCAGTTTTTACCTTTTACAGATTGACTTGTAGATGACGAAATGAATTCTGATATTTTGTAGTCCATTTGTTTTTTATGATGGTTGTATTTGTGATTGTGCGCAGTTTAACATTCTGATCAGATTCTCACATATTTCTCTCATGCAGAAATGAGTAACTGTGATCTAACACATGCTCACTATTCTTCTGCCTCAAAACACTCGAACAGTAATATCTGGAAATCTTATAGAGAGGGACCTTAAGACAGACCTTTCTCCTGTATCTCTTTACCCCCAGGTTTGCTTGGCATAAGAGAATTTTAACTGTATATTACCTATATGTATATCATACATATGTGTATGTATTTTTAGTGTGCATATATATACATATAAGCATTTTACATAGATAGCTAAATAATGTACTTATATATGGTATGTCCTCTATTTATCATTTGCAAAATTACCTATTCCTGCTATAAATAGATGAAGATTTAGCTCCACCATTACCGTCTCTGTAGCCTTCGCTTCTCCACCTCTAAAAGTTGAAATGCTATTTGGGCTCCTCTTTTGCTTGCCTCTTAGCTTTAATTCTGTGCTTAACCCGGTCCGTGCCTTTTTCCAACTATACACAGTATCTAAGTGAGGATTTTGACATTCCTGTCTTTCATTGACTTCTTCTGTCTCATGTTCTTTCATGTTATTTTTATTTTTACGTTATCAAGATGATACTGCTTTCTATTCTGTGATCTAATTCAATCTTTGTGCTTTGCATATAGGTTGATTTCAAAGGTTGCAAATGAAGAAGGGGTATGTGCTGCTTATGGAATCAAAAATGTTGTTCATACATAGTTCTACTAGCCTGGTAATAAACCTTAAGTTAGTTTTATACGTTATATACTTAAAATTGATGATATGTAATTATAAATATGATAGTCGCTCTCTCTCTCAGAACAGAATATGATAGTTGTGGACCTTGTTTTCCCTGATGTTTCTTTCGGGAGGGACTCAGCCTGCAGCTGCAGTGAGACAGAGGTGCTGTCTTTCTGCTGATTGGCATCATCTCACCCAACACTTCCCTTTCCAGTCTCCTGGTCTGAATCTGCCATTCACTCCATTCCCTGCCTCCTGCTCTATTTCGGCTAGATGTGGAATTCTAAGTAAATAACAATTTTCCCCCAGAACTTTGAAGCTCTTGCTTTATTGTGTACAAGCAAACAGTCGTGCAGGTCATGGAGCTAGGTTACCACTCACGATGGCAGGCACATAGCATCCCTCGTGCTTGGAGACTCGTGCTCTTCAGCTTGGAGACCACCCTTACTTTACTTATTTGACATTTATCCTCCTCCGTTTCTCGTAGAACTCTTATTAGCCAGATGCTGGGATTCCTTTCTAGATTTGGGCCTCTGTGCTCCTGATCTTGTATATTATCTGTATCTTTGCTTTAATTCTTTGTTTTACTTGCCAATAGCATACATTTTCAACCTGTTTATTCATTTCTTTCTAAAAATCTTTAGCAAGTTTAATTTCTTAAAAGTAGAACCTTTCAGGGGTTTTACCCCGTGTTAGAGTAAACACCTTGCTGCAGGTTTCTGGAGTTGGGTGTGGGGGAAGGAAGTACAGCGGGTATGGGTGTGCATGTGTGTGCGTGTGCAGCTCAATGTCCAGAGCTCCAGTCCTGTGTCTCATCCCCCAGCCACACACTGTGGTGAACTGGAGCTCAGCATGCTGGCTCC